ATCAATTGTTTAGGAATTGGCCTCCACCCGTTCACGTGTCTTTAAGAATTGATAAGTTACAAGAGTAATGGTTGGAATGGTTCCAGCTTGCAAGCTAGCAATTGAAAGCTTCTTTAAACTCACCTCGATAACTTAATTCTCATAACTTTTGTTTCTCACCGGATCGAAAGTAACATAAACATAGTATTATTTCTATTGCAATAATTTTTCATACCTAATGGAATGATTCCAGGTTGCAAGTTAGCCATCGAAAGCTCCTTTAAACTCGCCTCGATGACTTAATTCTCATAACTTTTGTTTCTCATCGGATCAAAGGTAACATAAATGTAGTATTATGTTTACTGCTACAATTCTTCGCAATACGTTCAATTATCAAATGTAAAAGTGACAAAATTCATTTGAAAGAATGCGCAATGATACGTCATTCTTTTATTCTCGCTCGATCAATAGGTTAAGCATCAAAAGCTTTATTTAATAAGTAGGAGTAAATTCACTTCATTAATTCAAGCAAGCAGGTGGGACATATAAGAGGAAGTCTTATCACTATCTCGGCAAGTTTAGATGCCCAAGTAATTGCGGGCGAAAACTTCAGCGCGCATGCAAAACTTTTCTCGGTAAACCGAAAGAGGCACAAAGTCTCTCGAGCCGGAAATGAATAGGCAGTTTCCATGAATTTAGCTCACGAAAATTATATCCCAACCCCCTTCGCAGAGTTATACGTTCCTTCAGATTTATTATTACTGGCAACGCTTGAAAACTCCCGGGGCGGAAAATTCAAATGATCCACTCCTTTCACGCTGTATCTCTGAATTCAATCAAAGGTGTGAAATCTTTAGCCGCGGTCGCTTTCAAATCCTTTCGCAGAAGGGGTGTCGATCAAACGTGTCAAAGGGGCCACTCGAAACACCAATTGAATTGTGTTCAGCGATATTTTATTAATAAAGGTTATCGAAATCTTTCTTTCCGAACACTTGCCGTTTATATCTCTCTGAATATATAACTCTTCCTGCATCGATTAAATTTCTCAGTGATTCAAATCGCGTCGATCGTTGGGTATTCGAACAGACCACTGGCACATCCTAATAGACTCTCTACACACGCATATACACGTGCGCGCGCACGTTTACGAGCTCGACGAGAGATCCCTCGGGTTGAGGCAAAGCAAAAGTCAATTAAGTCGATGCAAACCGTAACGAGTGGTAACAATGGAGTTAAAGAAACGAGTCAAACGAGGAGATTAAAACGTAACTAACAGGGACGCGGTAGCACGAAGGACGAAACCATAGGGATTTTTCACGTGGCGCACCAGGTTAGAAGGAACTAATAAAATCGGACTTAACAAGTTTTCTCTTCTCGTAGGAAGAAATTTTCTTTCTTTTTTCTTTTTCTCTGTAAAGCTGGATGCGAATCCATACATATCTCCAGGCTTCTACCTACTCTGCCCCTCTTCTCCTTAGTGGGGGCTAAGGTATCGAAGTTCGCATTCGTCTGCAAGGAATGGGACAGCGTAGAAAAAGGGAAGAGAGACAGAGATTTGAAGGGATAGGAGATAAGGTCGCGAGATACACAATGGAAGATGCGTATAGTAGGATTCGAGGTCCGGTTCGTTGGCGGAGGACATTGAACGGAGCAAGATTCTCTATGCTGGAGCAGGATAGCCGCATCGATCGGATTCCACTGTGTGGGAGTGCAATGAAAAGCATCTTTAAGAGTAGCATAGCGACGTCTCGAAGCGGGGGTGGTTGAGGTTGGTTCGGGGTAAAGGTGGATTGTAGGAAACGCACCAGAGGGCGGAGGGAGATTCCACGGGACTATTTATATAGCTACGCCATCCAGAAAGTTTGTAAGAACAATTTATTACGGATATACGTACCATTTAGAGACGCCGAAGTTATTATGACAGAGAAGTTTATCGGAGATAAAGGGAGCGTGGAAGA